ACGTAAAAGAAACATGGCTGCCACTTTTACACAGGTTACCTTAGACAGAAAGTCCTGTTTCTGACCTCTGTTTGAGCCTTAAAGGGGTCAGAGGTCACATGAGTGTGATCAGTTTACTCTGTGTGCTCAATCTTCACTTCACAGAACAGAGCGTCCTCTCTGCTGGGCCTGGGGGGACACAGAGGCTCCATTATGGCGTGGGTGTCCATCTTTAGTCCTGCGCTGTGTTTCACACCAACGCTCGGCTGCCAGCTTCGAGTGGCTTCAGTCGAAACGAGTGTTTGGACAAAGGCGTGTGTGCAGCTTCAGGCGGCAGCTGGACGTCGCACAGTCGCCCCTCTAAGAGCGGTGCCACGCCGTGTGCCGCGACCCCCAACCCGAGCTGCCTTACACGATAGCGTCCGCGCCGCTGTTCCCAGCAGAGGTCGGAGTCGTGCGTTGAGCTGCAGCTGAAGAAAAGCGGCGCTCCCAGGACTGCGTCAGGATCTGTGTAATAAATACCTGCAGTGGCGTCCATCGTTTAAGTACAGTCTACGTTTAGCTCCCCTCGTGTCTGACTGCAGGTGACGTCAGCAGCTGCAGACAAAGCGCGCTTCATTCGCTGACAAAGACGTCGCAGTGAGCCGGCGTCCAGCAGCGGCTCTGGCTCCTCTGACGTGGAAGCGCTGGCAGCGTCCGGTCGCTTCCTGCCGCCCGGGAGCGGCCGGACAGCTCGGCGGGAAAGCTGCTTTCTCTGTTTCCAGGAGACGGAGAAACACTCCAAAAAATCCAGGACAGAAACTCAGACTCTGACCTCTGACCCTTCACCTCCTGCTGTGTGCTGTATATTAAAGATGGAAGTCTCTGTAGTTTTTTCTTTCACAGAGAACAAAGACGCGTCACGTCCTGTAGTCCGTCTCTCTCGATCTGTACGGCACAAATGTGTGATATCTGTGGATCAGGCTTCGCTCTTTAAGCCCGACAAGTTTAATTAAAACATCAGGAGCAATAAAGCAGGTGAAAGCAGCACCTGTTCAGATGGAGACTCATACATCAGGAACTGTGGAAAATATGAACACTGAATTTAACATAATAACATATAATTCAGGCTTGTTTACAAACTCTAATGTTAGATCTACATTGTGCCCTAATAACGCCCTGTCAATATCAAGGCCAGCTTATTTTGGATTTCAAAGTAAAAGCCCTGTGAATTGTCATTTTTGAACTACCCTTTCAGTGACTTCAGAATGCTCTTAAGAGCAAAAGTCATATTTCCACAGACTAGTTGATTTACATCAACACCATCCAACCACAGAAAATTTGAAATTGCCCATATTTGACTTACTCGTCTAAGGATTTCAAAATTCTTGTTTCCACAGGATAATTTCACTCTGTATTTACAGTATACAGCCCCACAGTGACACCATGTCAATATCAAGTCAGTCTGATTTTAATTTCCAAAATAAAAGCCTTTTCAAATTGCCCATATACGACCTACTCTTTTAACGATTTCAAAATGCTTTAAATAGAAATATTCCAGTTTCCACAGGATAATTTCACATTAGATCAACAGTATACAACCTCACGATGTTACCATGTCAATTTCAAATCAGTCTGATTTTGGCCTTCCAAAATAAAAGCCTTTTCAAATTGCCCATATACGACCTACTCTTTTAGTGATTTCAAAATGCTCTAAAATGAAAACTGCTGTTTCCACAGGATGAATCCATGTTAGATCAAAAGTATCCAACCTCGCCATGTTACCATGTCAATTTCAAGTCATTCTGACTTTGCCTTCCAAAATAATGGCCTGTTGAAAATGCCCATAATTTACCTAACGTTCAGTGATTTCAGAATGCTCTAAAAAGGAAAGTTGCTGTTCCCACAGGATAATTTCACTTTAGATCAACAGTATCCAACCCCACAGTGACACCATATCAATTTTGAGTCAGGCTGATTTTGCCTTTCAAATTAATGGCCTGTCGAATTTGCCCATATGTGTTATACTCTTTCAATTATTTCAGAATGTTTTAAAAATGAAAATTGCTGTTTCCACGGGATAATTTCACTCAAGATCGACGATGTGTGTATTCTGAAGTCACCGAAAAGTATGGTCACCAACTCCACTGTTAGATTATATGCATTGATATGTGTTGGCATGAGCTGGTATTAATTCATGGAAGCTTGAACTTTCCATTTAATGCCACTCTGAAGTTATGGAAAGAGAAGCTCCTATAAACAAAGTCAAAAGGCTTTTACTCTGAAATGCAAAACAAGATTGATTTGAGATTGAGATGTTACCACTGTAGAGGTTGTGTACGGTTTGCATGAACTCCAATTGTCCGCTTCAGGACACCTACACCAGGAGATGCTGGACTAGAGCAGATACTGAAGGACCCGTCCCATCCTGCCAACAACCTGTTCCAACTTCTGCAATCCGGTAGAAGGTTCCTCATCATCCGGGCAAGGACAGAGAGACTCAAGAGGAGCTTCTATCCCCAAGCCATCCAGCCCCAAACACACACACCCGCCCTCTCACATCATCTATAATTGACTGAGACAGGACTCTCTTCCAAACACTCTAAACCCAGGCACAATGTACATTTCAAATCCTTTAATTTTAAATATGTTTATATTGTCTATTCTGTAAAATAGTCAGATGTCTATTCTTATTAATGTACAGAATTCACCTGCTTGCTGCTACTACTGCACATTCACCCAATGTATATACTATATATATATAATGTTCTTCCTCCCCCCCCCATTTTTGCACATGTGGAGGAGCGTGTCAGGCTACATTTCACTGTGTTATACTTGTATAACTATGCATGTGACAAATAAAGAACCTTGAACCTTGAATTACTTAGTGGAAACAGTAATTGTCCTGTTTAATTATTAAAAGTACCTCACAAACAATTATAATCACGATATTGAGGTGATAAAACTGTGGGGTTGTAAACTGTCAATGCAGAGTGAAATGATCTCGTGGAAACAGCAACTTTGCTTTTAATGGGACTCTGAAGTCAGTGAAAGAGTGGGTCATACATGGGCAATTTCAACGGGCCATTACTTTGAAAGGCAAAATCAGAGCAACTTGAAATTTACATGGTTTTACTGTCGGGGTCGGATACTGTTGATCTAAAGTGGAATTATCCTGTGGAAACAGCATCTTTCAACTTAAGAGCATTTTGAAATCGTTAAGAGTATATCTTTTATGGGCAATTTGAAAAGTATTTTATACTGGAAAGCAAAATCAGCCTGACTCAAAATTGATATGGTGTCACTGTGGGGTTGGATACTTTTGATCTAACATGGATTCATCCTGTGGAAAAAGCAAATTTAAATTTAAGAGCATTTTGAAATCGTTAAAAGAGTAAGTCATATATGGGCCATTTGAAAAGGCTTTTATTTTGGAAGGCAAAATCAGACTAACTTGATATTGACATGGTGTCACTGTGGGGGTTGTATACTGTCAATATAGACTGCGACTAGTCTGTGGAAACGTGAATTTTCCATTCTGAATTAATTGAAAGAGTAGTTCAAAAATAAACATTCAGAGGGCTTTTACTTTGAAATCCAAAAGGAGATGGCTTTAATATTGACATGTTGCTACTAGAATAGTAGGGTATGTCCTCCAGCATTAGAGTGTTCAAACAAGACTAACTGATATTTGTGAATGTGCTCTTAATTGACTGGAAGTTGGCTTTTATTTAGAAGTCATGCTTCAGGAGCTTTTATTTTGGAATCAGGTTTCCACGTCTTTTGCCATAATACTTTGAATACACAGGGGACGTAAAACAAAGTGGAGGCTGGCTTGACACCAGTGAGCTCAGCGGGTTTAAACACACAGCTCGTCTGTGACCCGAGAGCTGAGGTTCAAAGGTCAGGAGGGTTCGGGGACATCCGATAAGCTGCACGTTTAAAGCACGTGCACATGTAACCTCCTGATTTTGAAATCAGCTCCTGGAGCTGTGATGTCCTCATCTCGTTTTTAATGTTGGCAAACTTCCTGCAGCGCAAACCGCCGAGCACCAACTCAACTTGGTACAGGTTAGGTGTGGCTCACCGACAAACCGGAACACACACACACACACACACACACACACACACGTTTTCATATCTTAGTGACGACATCTCTTTGACATAACCCTTCCCTAGCTGGTTGCCCAACCATCCCAAACCAGTGCCTGTCCCTCAGCTTGAACTCTGACCCTGACACTAAAACTGCGGTTTGAGTGTGAAACACGGCTCGTGGGGACGGAGCTGTTGGTCCCCATAAACTTCCAAAGTTTGGTCCCCACAAAGTTATGTAAACACGGAGGCTCACACACTGAGTTCAAAATGCTCACAAACAGCTCACCTGGAGATCCCGATGACGTTTCAGCAGCTTGCAGTGACGTCGCAGTTGTCTGAGCGCGCACACCGATAATTAGCCGAGACGCGACGCAGATCTGTCCGGATTAACTCGGTCGTCAGCGAGTAAAATGACATCATTGTGCAGTCAGTCCACTCCTAACGGTTCACAGCCCCGCGGCACTCTGGGAAATGCAGTGCCGAGTAATTACAACACTGAAAAAGCTTTTTCTTGTTTTTGTGGCTTTAAACAAACAAATAAAGAAGATGCGTCGTCTTTGCTTCATTTGCTCTTTTTACTAGTTTATAAATATTTATTTTAAACTACTGAAAACTTCAGCTAACGCCATGTGGACGCCAGGTCCTAGGAGGTTAAATAAGGGATACTTTGAAATATATTCTACTGAAAGGTTGGAAATGTATTTTCTTGAACGCAAATATCTTTTGAAATGTATTTTGGTTTGAAAGAAATATATTTTCAATTTAAAAAATATATATTTTTTGAGCATCACAAATACAAAATATATTTACCATATATTTGAAATATATTTTGGCCAGGAAAAATGTATTTTTTTACCGTATGGGCTCATCAGTTCATCCAAACAATAATAATCACAGAGCACCTACAGCATTAGGAACATTGTTTTAAAAGCTGGAAGCTGAGAAGAAGCATCTAATACACCGAATAATGTATAACATTGTCCAAAAGTAACATCCCATCAATAAGACCCAACGTCTGCTAATTAAATGTTATTATGACGTATAAGATGAGTACAGAGCCCCGCAAGGGACATTGGAGAAAAAAAGATGAAGATGAGCAAAGTTCATCTTCATCTTTTTTCCTCCAATGTCCCTTGCGGGGCTCCGTAGATGAGTATTTAACTCAGATTGCAACTGAGAACATAAATAATAATTTGCAATAAAGTAATTTACTAACTCGCTTTTTAATTTAGAAAATATTAGAAAAACACAGAAAAAAGAATTAAATTAAAAAAATTATTTTTAAAATTTTACTGGTGAAAATAAACGTTTAATGAATAGTAATAAATTTCCCCTCAAATATTCAAATAACATTCTTACACAGATCAGAAAAACATGTCCAAAGATTTATTTATTTTAATTACTAAAAGATAAAGCTGACTGTTATTGATGTTATATGACCAAAAATATTCATTCAATTTTATTTGTATTGCACCAAATCACAACAAGCATTTTATATTCTCAGGTAAAGACCCTGCAATAATAATGAGCAAGCGTTTTGGCGACAGAGAGGGGCGGGGCCATCTGCTTAAATCTCAAATTCATGAATTATCAGAATATATAAGTAAATGTTTTCTGAAAAGTTTACGAAAAACATTTTTTAAATGGTGTAAATAATATTGTATGAAAATATGAACAATATTCATGAAAATATATATTAAATATAATTCTATACAGAGTCGCCCCCTGTTGGCTTCTCTGTAGAACAACAGCTGCATCCATCTTTTAACTACAGTCTGAGAAAAACCACTCAAACTATGGAGGACTGAAGATCAGCTGCTCATATTTATGAAGCAAAATCATTTTTAAAAATATGAATTTAAATTCAGACAAATATAAAAAATAAAGTCAGGCCGATCGTTCCCATCATGGCATTTTTATTTCTGCATTAAACATGAGCAAAAAACCTTTATAATAATTATAAAACACTTAGGAACGAGCTGAAAGCAGCGGTTGATCATGCAGCTGTGAAAACGCCTCTGAAGCTTTGGCCGAAGCTGAACTGCTCCTGCAGAACATCAGTGGAAAATGGCATCAGGAACATAAAATAGATCATCGGCTGCACTAAAGACTGAACAAATATGGCAAAAGTACAGCGTGGCGTCGCAGGATAGCACCTTTTTCTTCGCATTCGATCATTTTGGCACAATCCTCCAATTCAAGAGAAAAACACTGTCCTGTAAAAACAGGCTCGGCAGCATTTACAGTATGTACAGTCAGCACAGTACAGACCGTGTGCAGCAGGGCATTTCTAATAGAAATATAAAGCCTTTATACATCCTTACACTCCAGCTTTTCATTCCTGTCAGGCACAACACTGAATAAGCCGCTGGCAGATGAGCTAAAGCAGAGAGCAACGATTGTTCCCGATGTGAAACTGTCTGTTATCGTGGCAACAAGCGCTTCATTATCACATGGAACAAGCGCAGCTCAGAGCGGGAGGCTCCCAGCCGAGCACGGACACGTGAAAGCAACACAACGGCACACGCCGTCGCTTGTTTTTGTGCTTCTTGTTTCGCCGCCTCCCTGTGGATGTTTGTTTCTTGGTGGTGAGTCTGTGTCTCCGTGGAGGTCGTGGGTCTCTCGGAGCCTTTTGGGCGTCGTTTTGCATCGATTTGGGACGTTTTGAAGCACTTTGCGGTCGTTTTTGTTCAGTTGGGTCGAGATTAGGTTGCAACCCATTCACACAGAGACCAGAATACCACAGCAGTCAGATCAGGCCTCGTGCAGAGAGTCGAATCTCAGTCGCCGTGGGCTCTCGGCTCGACCACCTTCGATTTGTCCAAAGGTTTCACGATCCAAAGTTTGGACCTGCAAAAGGATTGCTGTGAAACTTTAGCTTAATATGTTAAATATTTATTTTCACCCACTTTGAGGGTTTTATGTACATTACAGCTCCATCCATGCTGCCAGTCAGCTGCCGATCGTCTGCTTGTCTCCAGCAGTTTTGGTGTTAAGGTGAGAGTTGGGTTGGCGTCTGGTATCCGACTGCCAATCATGGGAAATGAGCTAGAAATCCCCTTTTCACAAGTCTTAATTGTTTTGCTAAGTTTATTTCTCATATGAAAAGTTTTATATCATTATGTCTGTGAAGGTTCTCACCAGGTCACGGTCGTCTCAGGAGCTCTCAAAGAAAAGCGACCGGCCTCCAGGTTTCTTAACGACGTTTCACCAACAATGTTGGAGAGTCCAACTACTTGATAGTTTAACATTTAACAGTTGTGGAGAGACTCATATTCAAACATGGCCTCAGATTTCAAACTGCAAAAAAAGATAAAAGCTGCTGGAAGTAAGTCTACAGTTTTTAAAATTCTTGAAACATTTTTGATACATGAAGCTAAAATTTCACAACAAGCATTTTGGCGCCCGTGCAGAAAGTGTTCCCCGAACCTGATGAGTGAGTGAGCCAAAGGCCACTGAAGATTAAGCTCACATGGCTCGTTTGGGTTTTCTTGAGTTTTTAGTGGAATTTTTGGATGTTTGATTTTCTGCCTTTTCACACCGATTGGTTGCTTTTGTTCTTCCAGCTGAATTTGGTGGCAGTAATTGTGACGTCAGCGTCTACCCTCGTTTGCTGTCTTTCAGCAGCACCGATTTTGCATGTTACACATCAGGGTAGAATTCTGCGTTGACGTCAACGCTGTGCAGCACGCATTTCTGATCAGACGCCGACATCCTGTTCAAGACCTCAGCCGAGAGCGAGTAGCCGCTGCCAGACTTTTCCTCGAACCAGCTGTCCAATGCTCGCTTCCCGTCAAAGTTTGCGATGGGCGGTCCGTTAACAGCCACGGTCAGCAGATCGTTCATCTGTTCCAGGGTCAGCCGGGAGCGGTTGTTCTTGCACATTTTCTGCAGAGACCCTCGGCCCTTATCGCAGCAGGCCGTGGAGCTGGGCAGGACCCTGACGACCTGCACGATGCGGTTCAGCAGCGGGAAGCGTTGCTTGTACCTGCAGATGTGGCCGATCACCTCTTTAAAACCGTTCATGCTGTAGTAGTCTGCTTTCAGGTCCTTCCACTCCACCACCAGGCTGCCTCTGGCCTCCGTCTGGGAGACCTCCTGGGCTGCGGTGGGAATCGATTCCAGGTGGTTGAATATAATCTTGATTTCCTCGTCCCCGTAGGCTTGCAGGTCCTCGTGGTTGCTGGGCCAGGTGGACAGGTCCAGCACCTTGCAGGCTTTGGCGAACGAGCAGCTCTGCAGGTCCAACCTCTGAGACAGGATGCTTTGGCTCCTGTTGCAGATCTTTTCTCTGATGGACTGAAACTTGGACTCTGCAACGCGCAGGTTCTTCAAGGCAACTCCGTTAAAACTTTCTCTGAAATTTTCCTCAAACTCCTGCAGATATTCTCCGGGGCAGTCCACCAACTGGCCTATCTCCTGAATGGCCTCCTCTATCTTGGCTTCCACCTGCGACACCAGCAGGTACTCTCCCTGAAAGGTGAAGGCCAATCGTGACAGGATCGCTATGATGTCGAGCAGGAAGTAGATGAGCTTCACTGACTGATAGTCCATGAGGAACTGGAGGAGGGTGAGTGCGATGGCCGCAGCGTCAGCCCTCTGTGTCTGGCTACTGATCTCCTTAAGGTGTGCAACGACCTCCAGGTAATCCTTGATGAGCGCATTAAGGACGTTCGGCTCTCCTATGATCCAGCGTATGGCTCTGATGTCTCCTAGGAACTCCGTCTCCTCTGACAGCGTTGGCGCAGTGGATCGCAGTTCGGCCATCATGCGAGGGGAGTAGCGGTAAAAACTGAGAAGCTGTTTGAGGTTGTTTTCCAGGTCCTCCAGGCAGGAGAGCTCCTTTCCACTGATGGCATCCAGGACTTCCAGATGTGGTCGATGGATCATGATGGGAAGACAGAGGATCCAGGGAAAGGTTTTTTGGACAGCTATATAAAGGTTTGCTCTCATTCCTGAAGAGATGTTGGTGCCGTCCACCCCCAAACCGACCACCAGCAAGTCCTGAAACCGGAGGCCTAGGACACCAAAGGCACGATCCATGACCTGGAGATACCCATCCACATTGGCCACGGTCAGTCTTTGCAAGGACAGGAACTCTGTGTTTGGGGAGCCCTCGTTGGTGACGAACTGGACGTAGACCGCCACCATGTCGGAGAAAAGGTCATCGTTTTGGGCGTCCATTATGACGCTCAGGAAGGGAGACAGACGCATCTTCTCTGCGAGATCCTCCTTCACAGCCCGGGCGATGTGGTGGATTAGGATCTGACAGTCGCCTTCATTCATATACTGATCTACCACTTTGAGCTCGCACTTCTTCAGGAGCTCTGCCAACGAACGGAGGTCGGAGAAGGGCCGCCCTTCGAGGGCCAGGTGGTACGCTGCGTTGAAGAGAAGCATCATGTTCTTGCACATTTCCTCGGTCTTTTCCGGATGCATGCGCAGCTTGTACAGCTGCAGACACTTCTTGTGCAGGTTGCTCTGGCTGTGCAGCTTGATGGTGTGGATCTTGAACTGCTTGGAGCCGATAATGAAAGCTGAGGTGCGGGATGACTGGACGGTGTACTGGCGGCACACGTGGCACCACATCTCATTCAGGGTTGGCGAGTAACGGAGGAACCAGAACTTTTTCAGCCACTCCTGCTTGAAGCGTCGAATCCGTCTGCCTCCTGCGGAGGAAAGCTTCGACGAGTCCTCGGGAGATATCACAAGATCTGCAGCGATGGACTCGTCGGCAGAGTCCACGTCCTGCTCGTCTTCATCCAGAACCACCTGAGTGGGTGTCAAGGGCTCCATCCCTGCAAAGAGAAACTTATTCAACTTCTGAGAGGAACCAGCATTAAAGTCACATCAAATGTCTAATATCATACAGAGTGAATGACTTTATCAGCTGAGCAGATTCTGCTGTAAACACAGTGGGAACATCAACGTGAGCGCTCCAAAACCATTAGACAGGAGTCACACGTGCTTAGAGCGCTCCTCGCGTTTGATATCTTTGCTATCCCTCCACCGCTCACAGGACGGCACTCGGCTGTGCGTTCATTCACATTTCTGACAGAAGACAGAGGCGGCGGCCTCGGCACCAACCATCAGCTGAGCTAGCGGTCTGTGACGACCACGCAACGTGCTGACAAACTGCAGCAGCTAGCAGCAGTGCTGGCACGTTTGAATAAACTGTCTGGCATCACAATCTGCATGAAATCACTGAACTGAACCAAGAACCGTCTAGAGCAGTGGTTCTTAACCTTGTTGGAGGTACCGAACACCACCAGTTTCATATGCGCATTCACTGAACTCCTCTTTAGTGAAAAATAAAATGTGATTTTTTTCAAGTTCAAGACACAGATATGTTTTTTATTGGTGCACAAAATGAGCCGTGCATGTCACGGTGGAGGCTCTGCCGAACCCCTGAGACCGACTCACCGAACACCAAGGTTAAGAACCACTGATCTAGAACAAAGTCCCCAACCCTTTTTGCACCACGGACCGGTTTATGTCCGACAATATTTTCACAGACCGGCCTTTAATGTGTCGCGGATAAATACAATAAAATAAAACCAGTACCAGCACCAAAAAAAGAAGATTTATTCATAACCCACGGGGAAAGACCCAGGGAAAGCGAGTTAACAATTAAAAACGATTTAAAAAAAAAAACGATAAAAACCAATAAAAACCCTGAAAAACGTAAATTTCACACCCGAGCCTCAGCTCTCGCGGCCCGGTACCAAACGACTCACGGACCTGTCCAGAAAACTTTCTCCAACTTTCTGTCCCAACAGAGTTTTTACTCCTTTCAGTGATGAACGTGGGCTCTGCGGACTTCAGGGTGGCTCGTGCAGCGACACATCGCTGATCGGTGGAGTTTTCTCTCATTCACACTCACCAGACACTTTATTAGGTACACTTAAATGCATTACTGAGGTCAGTGGGCGGGATGTACTGATCTGTATTAGACTGCATTTTACTTGCAATGTGTTCCTAATAAAGTGGCTGATGTGTGCAAAAGTCTGCAGATATTAACTAGTGTGACTAATCTTTATTGGTGGAAACAAGCAGCCAAACGAACCTTCAGTCTTTTTTGTGTGAATGTGGCTTCAGATGGTGATTGAAACAAACGCACCTGCACGTCGAACAGCCACACTGCAGCGCAGTAACACTGCTGTGCTGCAGAGAACATCTGCCCTTCTCGTCTCTCACATACCTTGAAAATCCTCGATGGGGGCTTGCTCGGGGTGCGGTGGCGCCTGGTCGCGTTGGGGTGGAGTCTGTTCGGACGGAGCAGCAGCGTCGCCCTGTTCTCCTCGGAGACGGGACAGCTCCTCCTCCAGTTCCACAATCCTCCTCTTCAGCTTCACACAGTTGGGGCAGAAGGAGGTGGAGGGTTTCTCCGTGCTCTGGTTCTCCTCCTCCTTCTCTTCCACCTTCAGGTTGGGAACGCCAAAGCTGCTCTCAGAGGAATCAAACCCCGAGACCAGGGCTGGTGCTTTATACTCGCTGGTTTGGCCGGACCGGAACCTGGATTTACCAGAGTCCTCCAAAGAAGCTTCTAGGACGTCTTTGAAGATGAGGTCGATCTTCTTTCTCTTGGCCGGAGGCTGACCGTCGGACTCCTCGCTCGGCTGTTTGCTCAGTTTGCCCTGCAGAGCTGACTGCAGGCACGGGGACTTGAAGTCTTTCCCAGGACCTGAAAGAAAACCGTTTTTGACGTATTTAAAGCCCCTAAAAGCTGGTTCAAAGTGCTCCACAGAAAGACTCCAGCACCCAGGAGAACAGTGAAACAGCGCCGCCTGCTGGAGAGCTAAGAGCAGGACATCTGAATAATCCCTGAGGAATCTATGTAACAGTAACAGACTGAACTAATTAAATAACGCAACATATTACAAAGTTTACAAAATATAAGAAATGTCTCTAATTACAAATATCCAGAATATTATAGAGGAGACAAATATGACGCACAAAAGGGAGATTTCATCCCCTAACCCCCAAAATGTATGAAGAGATTTTAAAACTGATATATTTTCAGTGACTGTGTCTCCTGTTACCTGCTCTAATATTTCACCCCACTGCCTCCTCACCTGTGTCCAGGTTGCGGTCGATGCTCTCCTGAGAAACGCAGTGAAGTCGTCTGATGTAATCGTCGCTGTACCAGACCCTCAGCTTCTCTCCGGCCGCCAGCGCCCGGCAGACTCTGAAGTAGATGTTTTTACCGTGCTGAAACGCGGTGAGGTTCCTGTCGCTCTCCTCCGACGAGGTCCGCACGTACCTGGTCAGAGACAGAAAAGCGGAGGGTTGTTTCTCCAGGACAGACTGTCATGGATCAGTCTGACCTCTGAGATGTAACTCAGTAACTCAGTAAATCAGATTTACTCCCACTAAGAGTTCAAAAGTTCACTCTGTGGTTTTAATGAGGTGATGAATGCGTTACCAAGAACCCAAAATTAAATTAAAGAGAAAAAAAGAGATGAAAGGTTGTTGGCTCAGTAGAAGAGAACCCGTCTGTACAACTGAAACAAACGCTGTCAGTGATGGATGACGTTAACCTCAGACTAAAGTTCACCTCATCCAGTTGGCTTTGGTCTCATCGCTGCCATCGATGGACTGGTAAGTGTTGTGCACATCAACAATCTGAAAACGGGAAAGCAAACAGATTCAGACGTCCCGGAACAAAAAGAAAGTAGTTGTATACTGGTTGTACACTGGTTGTATACTGGTTGTA